TCTGAACTTCGCGAGTGCATACTTCATGGCAAGGAGTTCTTTGTCATGCACTGGATAGTTCTGCTCAGCTGGTTGCATCTGACGCGACTGATAGCAAACGACGCGTTCAACGCCTTCAAGATCGTACTGCACTAATGCACAGCCGTTTGCGAAATCGCTGGCATCACAGACCACATAAAGTGGCCTGTCCTGATCGGCTATTGCTAGGACTGGGGATTGTATCAAGCTCTGCTTGATACCCTCAAAGGAGCGCTGACATTCAGCGTTCCATAACCACCTCTCGTTCTTTTTCAACAAACGAGAGAGGTTTACAGTCATCTCGGCGTAATTGCGTGAATACTTTTACAAATACGCCGCTAACCCAAGGAATTTTGGAAGACCTTTGACATCAACCGGCACAGGCCAGTCGGTGATCGCCTTTAACTTTTCGGGATCGGGACGTACACCGTTCTTACTAACGATGCACCCAAGAAGTGGTATTTCGCTTGCTGCAAATATACACTTCTTGAGTTTTGCATACAATTGATGCTTTCGCATGCTTGTAAGAACCTGTCGGACGTGGTACCTGTGAACCTCAACGTCCGACTTTCCATCCATAGCTCGACTATGGATGAATACGTCATCGAAATAACTCGGCGCAAATTCTCGTACTGGTCTCAACAGATGTGATACACATCTGTTGAACGTGGCAGGGGCATTACTAAGCCCTTGTGGCATTACTAGCCATTCCCAGAGCATGCCGCTAGGCGTGATCACTGCGGTATAGGGTATATCCCGTTCTCGCATAGGGATTTGATAGAAGCCATCCATCAAATCCATGGACGAAAAGATGGTACTCTTTGACGTACCATCTATGATTACGTCCTTCCTCGGTATCGACGTCTGATCCGGTACCGTGGCAGCATTTAACTTGTTAAAGGCATGCACAATCCGCCACCCTCCTGTTGCTTTTCGCACACAGAAGGTCGGAGAGCTATGTGGGGAAGTTGATTCCCTCACATGGCCCGCAGCTAAACGATCGGCAAAGAACTTGTGGATCGCAAGTACTTGTTCACGAGGCAGTGGCCACTGCTTCATGACACATTACTTCGAGCCTGGTTTAAGCTAGACCTCGTGTCGAATACCTTTATCCTTCGGTAATTCGCACGGAACAGTTTCAGGGAATACATCCTTGAATTCAACCAAATCTTCATAGAGAGGATTTGTCTTGAGCGATTCCCACGATTAGGAGTCATACCGCTCAACTCGTGTCTTTTCATCTAGGACACTCTCGTCCATAAATGAACTACTGAGAACTCTCTCGTTCTCAGTGAACACTGTTGCTGACCTTATGTCGGTTACACACTCGTCGTCAGCGACGAGTACGCAGATCTGCTTGACTTTGCCACTACGTAGGTCGCGCAAGAACCTTTTATGTTCGAGCGTTGGCAACCGAGTGATCTCCGAAGTCAACTTCGGAGGCGCAATCAGATCAAGTGTATAAGCGCCTACACTTGATCCGTTATTGACTATGACATTCAATGTCTCTGTCATTTCCTGGGAACTTATTCTTTCAGGCCTCAAAGGACTTATTCCTTCGGCTTCCCGGGGACTTATTCCTGCGGGTTTCGGGGAACTTATTTCCACCGTATTTGTAATCTTGGGACTTATTCCCTTTACTTCCTCTAGCTGGAGTTGCGCAACCACAGCGAGATCCTCTACGAAAGACTCTCCAGTCGATCTAGGATTATCTTTTCGCTTAACCTGAGCGATCGATTGTTTCTCTTCTAGATGTTCCACGCTAGAGATACATCTTTGTCCCAGTCCACTCGGCTTATTCGAGTGGTGGACCTTCGGCGCAGCCTGTGTTTCCTCACAGCCGCCGGAACTTTGCTCCGAAGTGTAACCGTTTGTTACACTAAGGTTTTGTGCAGTCGTACGAACGACCGTACCACAAGTGAGGCCATCGCACTCACTCGTAATACATCCACAACCTTGTGGACGCTCCAAAACGTTCATCGGATGGCCATCGGATAAACAAGCGGCACGCGTCGTTACTGCTCGATGTTGCCAGTTTACCCGTGGTTCGTACCTTCTAAGCCACGGTATTCCAAGGATGACATCAAATTTGTCATCCAATTCTAATACGATAAAGTCATCGTCATATTGGGTATCTTCTAGCGTATAGTGAATCTTCACTATACGCTACATGACGGTGACGGATGCGCCTGTCGCAAGACGTACCGTCATCCTCGTAGGAGATGTGTCACATTCACTGAGCTTGAAGTGACCATCTTCTAGCGATTGGCGTCGCACAAAATTGCTGGACGCCCCACAATCGACTAGAGCTCGAAGAGACAGCTTATTCGTCACTTCGAGTTTCAAGGTAATGAGTGAGTCCTCATTACCTGGAGCAGCAACGCACAACGTTTATGTGCTGGGAACAACCTTCATCCTGAGGCCTACAAATTCTCTTGACGTTGCTGGACCAGTAGGGTGCTTAGCACTTACTGATCCTGTCTGTTTTTTGGCGGTCCATCTCGTTGTTGCGTCTTTGCACCGATAGCGGACCCTCTTCCCTGCCCCTTTCTCATGGATGGACGGTCACTACGCCCAGTGTTGCGAGACACTGGACGAGGGGCACTACACTCGTAAGCGTAGTGTCCTGTCTTTTGACATCTGTTGCATCTCTGCAACTCTTGTAGCCTGTAGAGCGAGCCTTCTCGCTCTCTACATAACAGAGTTCCATCGGCTCTGGACCTCCGCTGTCATATCGTCTCGGTTGACGATATGATGTCGAGCTGGCGCGAGCCTGTCTCATACTGAAGTCTTCCTGTTCCGCAATGGAAATGGCTTGTTCTAGTGAATCTAGTTCAAGCCGGAACAGGTGAGTCTTGACGGGACCATCCGCAAGACCCTGCATGAACACCGAAACCAACGTGTGTTCATCCACCGGATTGGAACTTATACAACTCGTAAGATGTCGTAAATGTTGTGCGCAAGCGTGCACATCACGCTTACCTTGTTTGAGCTTCAAGAGTTCGGTTCGAGCCCTGAACTCAGCTCTAGGCGGTTCAAACGTTTGTCTGAGCCGCGACTTGAAGACTTCCAACGACCCAAACGCATATGGGTCGTGCAACTTGAGCCCCAGTGCCCAAGTCTTGGCACGTCCTGCCAGATTTGACTGGGCAAAATGCAACTTGCATATCCCCGTCGTCGATGCGACGCGCCCTTATGGCGTCATCCAATTCGACGAACCATCTCAAGAGGGAGTCCTCTTCGACCCCCCTATACTTGGAGATGTCAATCTTCAAGGTTTCGGGTCGACGCGAGTGCATCGACCCGCCAGCAGCAGCCTGCTGCTGTCTCAACAGTTCAAACTGTTGAGCACCCTGTTCTCTCAACAACTCTGCTTGTTGAGAACCTTGTTGTTGAAGCAAGGCTACTTTCTCGCGTTCTGCGTCAAGTTCATTTTGAATGAACTTGGCGATAGTAGCATGTTGGGCATCTCTATTGAGAGCCTCTAGCATGACGCTAACAGCATGGATGCCCATGGTTGAACCCATTCGTTCAACCGCATCCCATTCGATATCGCTCAAATGGGAGTAGCCGTCACGCGTAGCGTGAAAGCTTTGGTCATCTTCATCATCCAACACATTCATGTTAGATGTGAACGTGGTCCTTGGACGGACTACGAAGTGCTACCAGGTGTAACGGGGCACCCTGAAGCTTGTACTGGTGACAGTACAAGCTACTTATTCTGATGACAGAATAAGGCGGTGCCTCGTAACTTCACGTACACTCGGACGTGCAGAGGAAGACGGTAGGAAGAAGCGATTACTTGGTTTAAGTAAAACGTAGAACTGTATTTATCATAGTTAATGTCTGCTAATAAATCACTATTTATCCTCATCTAACTATGTCTAAATACAAATGTGTATATCAACTATCTGCTTACCACTCATTGCGTGCGTCTGTCGTGGCGCGTCTTCGTTGGTTGATACAATGGCCTATATCAACCAATTAGGAACTACTCGTAAGTGCTACAGAATAATTGTCCTTATGACAATTTTCTGAGAATGTATCTCTTATAATTATATTCTATTAACAAATTCTAATAAATTGTTATGTAGCGATTCACCCCGTTACATCCTTGATCAAAGGAGGCTCGCGAATTTAATCTCTCGTGAAGGTGGGGTTTTATGGTAGTGATTCTATGGCTTTTTTAAACCTCGTGAAGAGATTTACTATCCCCATAAACGTCAAAATGAATTTCGGGCAATCGCATGACAGGAATACATCAGAACTTCGCTACCCGCGGAAGTCAACTACGTCAATGTTTGTGCGCGTGGTCATTTTTGCAACTTCGTTGCCCTTACCATAAAGAAGAGCCCTGCTTTCATCAGTACGCCATCAGCGGCACCGATTAGGATCTAGTGGAACAGGCGTTCAGTTCCTACACTTTCTGTGGCAGGTAAGCATTGATGTCATTTTGATATAATTTACCATTTTACTATCATTCTCATTCTTTGGTACCCCCAACGCATGTGAAGGGCTCATGTGTACGCAGATCTGGTCGTTTCAAAAGTATACGTAAAGTAAAATGATAAACGATCTCGTCCCACAACAACCTGTCCTGCGTGGGATGGGACGCGGGTCAGATCGATCCCGCATAACCCTGCGCAGGACAGAGCCAGCGTCAGAAGATAGGACGCGGGATGGGAATAGGGATGGGACGCTAGATAGGCCGATCCCGTCTCATCTTGCGCTCGAGAGTGCCTTCCCGAGTCCGGAAGCCACAACGAGACAAGGGAGCGTCAATCGTTAGTGACACGCCCTTGTCTCGTTGTGGCTTGGGAATAGGGATGAGACGCTAAATAGGCCGGTCCCGTCTCATGGTGCGCAGGAGAGAGCCTTCCCGACTTAGGGAAGGCTCTACCCTGTGCACCATCAAGTGCAGCTTCAGGTTTCTCTCACATTTCAATTCACCTTGAATACCGCAAACACATTCACGTCAATCGATGAATCTCCGTCTCATCACCTTCATCGCTGCACTCGCCACTGGTTCCTCCACAACTCACGCTGGGAAATGTCCATTCGGTTTCGATGTAGTCGCAAGTGTGAAACTGCAAGAGCGTCAGATCTCCAGTGAGCTCTACAGCTCCACGAGCTGCGACGTGGTCGACTATGATCTGGTCAAACAGGATCTGGAGAAACTCATGACCGACTCGCAAGCCGTCTGGCCTGCAGACTTTGGCCATTACGGCGGTTTCTTCATCCATTTTGCGTGGCGCTGCAGTGGGTCCTATCGCCAATCAGATGGACGTGGAGGTTGTGACGGTGCTCGAGTCCGCTTTCTACCGGAGCAAATGTGGGGGGACAATCGGAACTTGGACAAAGGCTTTCGTCTCTTGGACCCCATCAAGGCCAAGTACGGTGACGCCTTGTCCTGGGGCGACCTCATCATCTTGTCGGGTAATGTAGCCATCAAGAGTGTCGGAGGTCCCGTGCTCGGCTTTTGTGGTGGCCGTCGGGACGACGTTGATGGGGCCAGCAGCGTGCCGCTTAATTCAACATTTCATCCAGCAGTCGATGCACCTTGTGCCGTGACGGGGCAGTGTGAGAAACCATCAGGACCTACTACTACGGGCCGCATCGCCGCGAACCCGGAAGGTCCAAAGAACAAGCCGGACCCTGTTGGATCAGCTCTGGAAGTGCGTGACATGTTTACTCGCATGGGCATGAACGATCGCGAGACAGTAGCTCTCATTGGTGGTGGACACGCTATTGGGAAGGCACACGGTGCCTGTCTGACTGGTCCTGGTTCGTCTCCGCTCGAGGATCCTGGGAACCCATGGCCCGGAACCTGTGGCGAAGGCGAGATGAAGGGCAAGGGGAACAACACGTTCACTAGTGGATTCGAGGGTGCGTGGACGTCCACCCCGACCAAATGGAGCAATGAGTACTTCAAGAGCCTCACGCAATTGACGTGGGAGACGTATGTCGGACCGGGAGGTCGAACGCAGTGGCGCCCCGTACCGGACACGCCTGTACCTATTCGGATGCTCACGTCCGATATGGCACTGGTGAACGACGCGAGCTACCACAAGCTTTCGCTCGAATTCGCTGCTGACCAAGCAGCATTGGACGACGCCTTTGCTCACGCCTGGTACAAGTTGACGTCATATGATATGGGTCCCGTGGCTCGATGCCGTGGCAACGACGTGCCCCCAGCGCAGCCGTTCCAAAACCCACTACCACCGACACCTGCAACTTTGCCGGATTTTGGTGCTGTGCGTCGTGACGTTCGTGATCTGTTGAAGAAGTCGGTAGACGGTCTACCGAGCGACTTGACCAGCGATGGGACGCCGTATAACGGTGCTTTGTTTGTGCATGCAGCGTGGCAGTGTGCATCATCATTTCGTGTCACTGACTACGCTGGTGGCAGCAACGGCGCCAAGATCCGGTTTTCGCCGCAGAAAGACTGGCCTATGAACGCTGGCGTTGACAAGATCATTGCTGCGCTAGAGCCGATCAAGGCAAAGTACGCGACGCTCTCGACTGCTGATCTGATTGTACTCGCAGGACAAGTAGCACTGGAAGACAGTGGAGACGTGAAAATCGACTTCCTGGGTGGTCGAACGGACGGTCAGAGTGGCAAGGGGGATGAGATTCTAGTCCCGCGTGACTACTACCCTTCGGTTCTGGTCGGTGTGCTCGACAACATCAAGATCCTGGGTGTGTCGCCGGAAGAGGCCGTTGCTCTGGCTGGACGACCCCGCAGTGTCGAGCAGCAGAAGGTACTTGGCTACAGCGGCTCGTACTCTGACAACTCGGTCGCTTTCTCAAACGAGTACTTCAAGATTCTGCTGAACGAGAAGTGGAACCAGGCGGGATCGAACGAGTTCAGGGCTGAAGGCAAGGAAGTTTACATGATGTCGACGGATGTGGCACTGTTGTACGCGCCTGAGCTTAAGATGGCCGTGGAACGGTTTGCCAACGACGAGGCATTGTTCAAGAAGGTCTTTGCATCGGCCTGGGCCAAGGTCATGACGGCCGACCACTTCAATGCCAGCAGCTATTGAGTATACAGTACTGCTGCTGGATTTGTACCCAGTGACGTGTAAACGACTCGTGCGACATACGACGCCTTTTGCGGGGGGTCGTGACGAGGAGTTTAGTAGTTGCCGACGTGTATACGGTTGTAAAATGTTAGAGCCTAACATCAAAAAGACGGTGACAAAAGCATCGGATATAATTGCGCAACTCGTACTTTTGGGGCTATCGCTAAGCTATTCATATCTTGAATGGCCGCTTGCTAGATGAATAATGGATTCTCCATTCCCTGAATGCATTCTCTGCAACATTACCTCGCGCATGGCACCCATTTTTTGAATCCGATAATGGATCATAGAACACACAACGACAAGCTTCTGTTGCAAGGGCTACACACGCCTGATGCAATGGGTCTCAAAACAGCACTCGCAAACACATACGAAACCTGTAAACGACGACCAACATTGTTTTAAAGACCAATCGTCCAACCTAACTCTTCCATTTGTACTGTCGAACGGTTACCGCAAGCAGCGTGACTTCTTGTAATCGGTGTCGGATGCGTCTGCACAAAAATGTCGCCCTTTTAAGTGGCTTGAAGCATATCGAATCATTCGGAGGCACAGCACGAAAAACTAGAGAAGCGAGAAAGCTGACACATCGAACTTGTCGAGGTTTGGATGCGTATGGCTGAATGGCTAGTTGGCAAAATCGGGGAATACACGTCTCACACGATTATTTAAAAACAGTATTTTGACAAGATCGAACACAAATGTTTGGAAGTAGCGTGTAGCGGAGCTGCACAGCTCCTTAAGTCAGAGGAGGACTTACCGCTCAACGAGCAACTTAGTTCTAATCAACTAGACTCAATGAGTCAACAAGCGTAAAACTTATGGTCCTTGTTCCAGGGGACCAAACGATTCAGTGAATCCACAGCACTTAGTGCTCAAGCGTAACTAGCTACCTCAAGGAGGTGTTGCCAACTCTTAGTGATTAGTGATCAACGGCCAAAGACGCCTCGCAAGGCACGTGTCTTTAAGATCAAAAGGGAACTGGATTTTATCTGCATTTAAACCTATAGAATATCTGAATCCTAATCTAGACACTCATGTCCAGATCTTAGTGCAACTAAGATCTCTCTCTATCTGGTGGCTGACACCAGTCAGCCCCTATAAACCGATAAGATATTCTATGTTTCTTTCAGTGGGATACCATTCGTGTATCTAAGACAGGGTACCAAGTACCCAACTACGTGTAACCTCTTTTTATCCTCCTCCACCAGACTGACGTTTACCTAAACGTCAATCGAACTTTGTTCTTCCACGAGGTCAGTGCGCTTGCGGCTCACCTCGCGGTAACGTAAAGCTTAGCACGATGTCCTCATCACCTAACGAGTCAAAGACTCCCAGTGATTACCTTGAAATGAGGGAAGTTTTGGACTATGGTAGCAATGCCAGTGTCCCGGGTGATGCAGGTACAATGTCTGGTACACCCATGTCCGAAGTACAACCTCGTACTGCCCCCTGTCCGTTCCCTGATCATGATAATGAGAATTCGCCATTGGCGCCACGCTCAGCACCCGGTTCGGATAATGCCATCTTAACGAACGCGCTCAATGAGCAGCAACAGTTACTTGTTAAACAAAGAGAAAGCGCTCGGCGCCATGCGCAAATGGTCGCAACCCTCGAGCACCAACGTGACTATACGATCACTTCACCCAGTGTGGAGGAACGCTAACGTCAAACGAACGGCCAATCGTTGGCAACGTGGGTCATTGACCATAGGTCTAAGTCTCCCAAGGGATGGCGATCGGACAGGCACTTCGCGAGAGGTACCTAGAGCCTCACCTAACGACCTAAGGTCAATACAAGGCACGTCTTGACACGCAAGCACGTGGTGCACCGGTCCCACCCGATCAAGGGTATGCCCATTCTCTTGTTTGCAGGCGAACCAGAGAGCGAAGAATACAATGCCTTCGCCCGCTGGGTGCACTGATACGTCGCCTCAGCAGTGTGTCTGCTCTAAGAGCTCGTGCCAGTGTGGCTGTGCGTCTCGAAAGTAAGCTTCGGTATGACTATGCCAAGCTTAAGGCCAGAGGTCAATTGCATAATCGCACGCGATATGCTTCGGCTACTACGGTAGTCACGAGCGTTGGTCAAACTATGACCACCTCCCCTCCAAATCACACCGATAGTGGAGGGAATCGTCCTCGGTCTCAAGATAACCACGATGTTCAAAAACATCCAAAGCATTAGGAAAATCCTGCCGTAGGGGTACCTCGTATTCTCATGAGTTCTCCGACTCAGGATGCCCACGCCATTTTACCAGATACTGGCATTGGCCGTGACGACGAATTCATTTTGGTAGTCTTTCAACATGAAACTGACGACACCCATGCTCATCGAGCAGCGTCGGTGGTGGCCGGTATAACGGTGGCAGTCCACGATAAATTGGGTTTCGAAGTGAAGAGTCTTCAAGAGAACTTGGGTAAGACCCAGTGCATGCTTGATGCGATGCAGAGTCGCCTTTAGGCAATGGAGCATGCTCAAGCTCGGAGCGAGGCTCAGTTGGACTTGCTGATTCGCTTGCAGCGATCCGGGGCACCGCCCTCGTCGTCGGCGCAAGCGCCTCAAAGTTCACGCGGGAAGGATCCCGGTACGGCTTGAGTAAGCCTACGTAGAACACTGGGTGTGTGCGCAATTTGCGCGGAAGGTTGAGCATATACGCACAGCTCTTCTTGGTTTTAATCTTAAACGGTCCGATGAAGCGTGGGCGCAACTTTTTTTTGGAGAGAGCAGACACTACATTTGTAGGTAGGTTTTTAGCATTGAGTAATACTTGGTCTCCGAACTTTTAACTTTCAATACAATATCTTCATTTGGCATCATTTTGTTGTTTTTTTGATCTTGGCTATCAGCCATTGCGGCGCACACATGTCGTAAGACATTCAATTGCGTTGCAAGAAACGCGCCTACCTGTATTTGAACAGTAGCGGGACTGATATCAGCAAGCCAATCGGCAACCACTCCCTTATCAAGCCCTGAACCATCGAGTGGTAGCGTTTTTTACGGAGCGCGAGGGTGCGTGAGACCGTTTACGTAAAACGGCGTAAAGCCTATGGAGGCATGAACAGCGTTGTTCAACGTAGATTTAACAACAGGAAGCACTGAGCTCCAACGACTTGGCGTATCAGCGCAAACACTGCGCAAAATGTCATTGATGACGCGATCAACTCGCTCATTTGGACCATCAGTCTGCGGATTACTCTCTATTAAGACGTCCAGCCTGGTGCCCAGCACCTTGGAGATGGAAGTCCAAAACTTTCCAATGAAACGTGGATCACGATCAGAGACAATTGCCACAGGCAAACGATGCTGTCCAAACACACGATCGATAAATAGCTTTGCTGTGCCTTCAGCATCGATCGTATCCGGCCCAGCCGCTAATTGAGCCATCTTGCTCAAACGTTTGACAAAGGCCATAATACCAATGTGCCTTCCGAATCTTTCGGTAGGCCAAACGCAAAATCCATACTCATGGATTACCAACACCCAGTGGGTACATGCAGACTATCCAGCGGCGCAGCCGCGTGTGCAGAGAGTTGACCCGTTAACACGTTTCGCACGCACGCACATAGGTGCTCACCTATTTAAACAGTTAAGCAACAAATAAGTCTAGCTCACCGAGCCAAAGGTCTTCTCACGACCGAGATGACCGCTCAAAGCGGTATCATGTGCCTCATAGAGGATTCGATGCTTCAATTTCTCATCGTGAGTGACAGCAAATTGAGGGGTATCCTCATATCCGTGCGATAGCACAACAGGCCATAATCGATGGAAAATCGATGTAGCCTCGCACGTATTTGTGTCGACAATTCTATGTCCGAGTCTTTAAACTCATCGCTCCCAAGAGCCCATAGCAAATCTACATAGTGTTCATCCTTGGCATAAGCCGCACGAATTTAATTCAGTGACTGATTATGACAGTGTCGAAACATGATTAAGCTCATAGTTATGTCGGCGTGATAGCACATTAGCCAAGGCATTTTGCTCATCGGCCAAGGCATTTTGCTTTCCTGGCTTATACTTCACCTCGAAGTTATTTTCGGCAAAGAAGGACAGCCAACAAGCCATTCTCTGTGAAAGATGAGGCGACTGTGTCCCAGTACACAATGACTCATGATCATTATAGATCAAAATAGGCTTTGAGACAAGGAGATGCACTCTGAATTTGACTATAGCATACTTTAAAGCAAGTAGCTTTTTGTCATGAGTTGATTAGTTCTTTTCAGCAGTTTTAAGCTGGCGAGACTCAAACGCAACGACGCGCTCGCATCCATCAACATCTGTGTGTAACAGAGCACTATCAATGGCAAATTCTGATGCGTCACAGACGACACTGAAGGGGCGATCAAGATCGGGAAAGCCAATTTTGGCGCATGAAGAAAACGCTTCCTAACCGTTGTAAAAGGCATCGTGATTGGTAATGCACCAACAACAATCCAAATCCTTTTTGGGAGATTGGATAATGGCCTAGTCGTGTCCGCGTAATCAGCACTAAACGTTTGCAAGAAATCGGCAAGGCCAAGCCACTTACGTAAGTCCTTTTGGTTTTCAGGAACCGGCCAATCGACTATGGCCCTTACCTTAGCGGGGTCCGCTCGAGCGCCTCTCCTCCCAACGAAGCACCTAGAAAAGGAATCTCTTCCGCACCAAAGATGCACTTAGATGCATTAGCATACAATTTGTTCGTGCGCATGCACTCGAGCACCGCTCGTGAATGATCAATGTGGTAATCCACATCTGATTGACCATTCATTGCACGGCTATGGAAAAAGATGTCGTCAAAGTACGTGTGTGCGTATCCTTGATGAGGTCGGAACAGTTGCATCACCGGACCTTTATAAGTAGCCGTGTGGCGTTCGACAGCCCTTGTGGCATAACGAGCCACTCCCAGAGCATGCCGCTCGGAGTTTCCCCGGTGTTAGCGGAATATCACTTGGTCGCATGAGGAGCTGGTAATAACCGACGACTAAGTCGAGTGCATTGTATAGTGTACATGTGGCAAAGTGGTCACAAGTAAATATCTATTGGGACTTGGATCGGCGATCGCACGGGTCGCACGATTCAGTTAAGACAATAATGCTATGATTGGTGGATACAGGCCGGGATGGGTAGCTAGCAATAGCGTACCGAAACCCAAAGTGGATAGGATCGTCCAGCCCGGGACGAGGCTATAGGGTGGTCGCCCCCAGGTTGATTAATCAACCCGTCGTGAGACATGGCAAGACGAGACCCTCGATCTCGCTGGAAGACCGCGATCTTAACCCAGGATCGCAAGTCCGATCTCAGCTGCGATCCGCTAGTAGGATCACGACCTGCTAGGAATATCATGAGGATATCTTGGGTGGGCCACAAGAATATGCAACTGCTGATATACTGGGTGTGGACCACACAAATGCGAGGGGAGGATCTTCCTGGAAAGGTGACGCGTGGCGTCTGGTTTGGATGTACGGATAGGCATAGGGGTAGGGTTTAGGTTGGTTGGTCAACAGTAAACAGAGTTCAAATTACTTCACAAGGCACACGTTATCTCTTCCGGGTAGGATCTTTGCCCCCCCCGTCGAATAAAGAGTCGCGCTACACGTCTACGCAACACTCTCACCTGGACTGTTTTGGCCAGGTGTGTTCAAGAACTCTCAGGCAACATAAACTGCGATCGGACGCAGCAAGACACGTAAATGCAAGACGCGAGATCGCGAGACGATCAAGTGGTCAGAAGGATCGCGGATCAAGCAACCACATAGTGGACAAGGCGATCTTGTTGAGATCAGGGTAACTTATATCAGTACCCACCAGTACCCCGTGGTCGCGTAAAGATTTTCGCACGATCACAACCCCATCCCCAATACGGTCAAGTTTTCCTTCGACACGAGTCCACCTGGAAGATTGCAACCCGCCCTACCAACGGGTAGACAAGGTGAGGAAGGCAACACACACGGAATCGGGGTTATCCCTCCATTTGTTGGTCGTCTGGGCGCCAGTGGAGAGTTGGGATCGACTCACAAATTGAGCGATCGCCACTGAACCACAATGGTGCGCGTGCCCGGATCTTCTGGTGACTCGGGATTTCACCGTGAGTCCCTAAGTGAAGAAGTGAAAGTCAAGACTGAACCTTAGATGGAAGCGTTAGAGGCAGAGATATCGCCTCCGACGCGTGATTTTAAAGGAAACCCGGATTATCAGAGTTTTGGGAGGGGCTCTCATGACAAGAAAATTGAAGAGGAAGATCGATCAGTCGATCTGAACGATAAACCTCGACCTCTTCCTATGGTCCCTTTGGGGACCACCGCGGATCGTGCTGCAAAACACGATCCGCTGGGTAAAACCCCTTCTGCGAAAACTGAACAAAAGCTTCACAAGACCACTCAGGCAATGTCAAAAAAGACGAATTTTAAGACAGATCGATTAACACAAGAAGAGCCCAGATCGGATCGACACGATCGCGGCTTAAAAGCGATCGTGAAACCGATCAAGTTCGTGGACGATGCTCTGGGTATGAACATGGAAGGCTGGCAATTGGACTAACTGGCGTAGGGATTCCATTGGAAGGCGCTCACGAATCTGCTATAGAGCGACCCCGTGCTACGGATACAGAATACTAAGCTAATCGGTGAGATACAAGGCCAAACATACCCGGCCGAAGGTGGCGACTAACGCAGTAGAAAGGATCAGCGCGATCATCCAGCTGCTGCAAGATGCTGGTACGTCGCTGGGGCGTTCGATGCGAACGAACTGCTGGAATGCGATCAGAATCAGGTTATCCATGCGTGCCGATCGCTGTATGACAAGCTAATTTCTCTGACAGGAAGTGCGAAACCGCGCATTAAGCGGTTAAAACGATCGCCGATGTCACGAGGGGGTATCATACCGGATTGTCACAATATGCCTCGGCGAAATCAGAGATGGAGTCAGACGATCCCGTCTGCATCCAGCGAATGTCTCTAGGCCCAAGTGGTGCAGCACATATTCGCGATCGAGTCGAGTCGGTGAAGCTGAACTCGCGATCGAAGGCCGCAGGCGCTAAAGAGCTGATGACGACTATTACGCAAGACCTCCTGGAGACACACCTCGATGAGGCCATGGATCTTTTTCGCCAAGATCAACGGGAACGAGCGTATCAGGAGATCTACCCTAGCCAAATGATTAAGCCTGCTAGATCCCGTAAAAGATTTACATCCGATGTGGAGATGGAATCGTTGCATTCGCGCATCAGTCAACCAAAGGTTTTCGACCCTGACGACATTGATCCCGATGATTTGGGACAAGAAGATCGTTTACACGCTGTGGTAGCTACGACCGAGACGTTGCAAGATGGTGATAGCATACATCAACGCATTCGAGTGTCGGCGATAACAGAGCTGAAAGAATTCAGTGGCAAGGATCGAGATGAAGATCGGGCCAGAAGCTGGATCAGCAAGGTCAAATCGGCCTTCTTGCGCGATCAATCACCCGATGAGGAGAAGTGTTTAGTGTTCGGAGATCTGCTGACAGACCCGCTTAAAACCGGTATAACCAACTAAGTCGATTTATTTGAAAGAAGTGGAAGAGATTGCTGGATAAGCTTATAGCACAGTATGGAGGGCTAGGTGTGTCTTTGGCCAGGCAATACTATCTCGCACGGAATCGATCGAATAAAATCCACAGGAATATCTAAACCGTCTAAATGTTGCGGCTAAGCATGCCAAGATCGCGATCAGAGACGAGAGGATGGCCACATCGGACACACGTCGTGAACATGTGGAACAATTCATTGCCACGTTGGACGATCGCGATCTGGCCAAGCAGCTGACCCTACTACGATTGGACGACGTCAACGAGTTGGATAAGACGTTACTTGCATGCCAAAGGATGGAGAGTCGTCAGTTGAAGACGTCGACAGGGTCGAACAACTTCCACCAGAGATCGAATGCCTCCCCAGATCCTACGCCATATAAGTCTGCTCGGGCGGTGAGGGCAATCCGTGAGCGGATCGAAAGTAGCGGATCGGAATCTGACTCGATTGGATCGGATGAAGACAAGGATCACCGCCGAGTTTGTGTGGCCACTACATCTGGTCAAAATATATCGGACTAAGATCATCGTACCTGGCAGAAGAATACTATTGAAGAAAATAGACGTGATCGAGGTGAAAACCGAAGGCATGCACCTACTGCGGATCGATGCGACAAGATGATCGTGAATGCTGGCAGAGACTAACGTGCCAGAAGTGCGGTCGCAAAGCGCATCCATCGGACAAGTGTTTCTACGTGTGTGCAGCATGTGGAGAGGTACATGAGAATGACAAATGCCCCGTGAAAGGGTTCTTTAACTTGATCCTTCAGTGGTATGTGCCTACTAAGCATGCGGGTATTTTTCCTCCGAAGGTCGAGAAAATATTAAACTAGGACGCTCGCCAGGTTGGAATATGGCACGAGCCGAGCGATCGGGGCTGTGCATGTATGCATCTGTTGAGAAGAAGTCGGATTATTAAGGATTTAAGAATCGGCGCGATCCGATCTCTATTATATGTGAACTATCAAAACGGACCTCTTTAACATGAAGTGTGAATCGAGTAGACTACTATGCCCGATCCCCGGTGGAGATGGAGCTCGATCTCACCCCAGGTGAGGCAAGGGGATACTGGTAGTATCCTACTCCAGGAAAATGGCTCAAACAAGCGAAAGCAGTGGGGAAGATCAACAATGAGAAGGCCACTTTTCTGTTTGACTCTGGTGCGGAAATCTCGACCATCGACACTACCTTCGCTCGTAATGTAGGGTGTGTGATAGACGAGAACCAAACACAAGAATGCGTTGGGATCGAAGAGAGTACTTATATGACGGTAGGACGGACCAAGATCAAGACCACACTTAACGGATCACTAGTGTATTATTTTGATGTCTGGGTTGGGGATCAAGTCGGTCAAGAAGCTATAATAGGCATGCACTTCATGATTCCTGCAGGTACCGTTTGGATTTGACCGACGTAACCCTTTGCCTGCCCGATGAAGTTCGAATCTGTATGGCTGGACGAAGACTACCGTACCGATCGAGTATATCAGCAGTCAACATTAACGATCAACATATAGCCATTGCGACCGGCAAATCGGCAGACGTCAGGATCGGCGTCAACCCTCCTAAATCTAAGCTTTGGGTGTGACGGGATGTGGCGTGGATTCCTACCGTGAAGAATGGTCCCGGAAATTAAGTTCCTGCAGCTTACAAATGTAAGCGATCGTGACTTGATCTTAAACTGCGGGGCCCCTTTAGCGTTGTGGATGACAGAAGACATGATCCCGCGATCTAAAGGATATGTATTCGTAGGATCGCGGCGGTACATGGAAAGGCAGACATTGGTTTTTGAAGCCACTACAGATCGAGATGAAGAAGAAGCCGAAGTCTACACGGGCACGTTCGTGGATCATCCTACGTATAAGAAAACTACCCGAATTTTGATACGCAAAAAACGGAAGTCAGACGACATCAAGGATTCTGCAGAGATCGCCTCACTATCCGATTCTAATAGTGACTCGAATTAGGAGTTGCAGAACGAATGTACGAGTGGAAAGAATAACGAAGACAAGGATGATAGATTCGACAGTGAGATCGTGTGAGGTCAACGCAGTGCGGACGAGGCCAGAGCATTCGGACGAAAAGGACATGGTTGCAGAGGAGGCTATGACACCGAAAGACAACCATAAGATAACTGATCCGCTACAAGGACAGTCCAACTGTCACCCAGACGGGATCAAGGTTGAAGATCAGGAGGGTATGACCAGTCTACACGACTGGATGACGATGTGAAAGCTGTTCCGATCGACGGCGAAGTGATGAAAAATGATGTACCGGATGAATCAACATACTACCACGAGGGAGGTGAACTGTTTGCGGAAGATGTGAAACAACACATGGCTGTACTGCCGGAGGTAACCATATCCACGACCGAGATAACAAATAGACGATGTCCAGGCTGGCGATTCTGGAATACCCTTGACAGAGGATTAAGAGGATTTGCGACGACTGATATAGAAGAGTCGTCACCTGTTGATCGGGAAAGTAAATGCATAACCCCCTGAAGCACGCGGGGCCGTTTGTGATATTGATGTGGGAGAGGCGAGGCCGATCGCTCCTCATGCAAGAACTGTTGCGCTAAATTTGCGTAAGAAGTTGGCCGATATGATAAAAGGCCTGTTGTCAGCTGAGATTATCCGACCTTCGACATCGCCGTGGGCATCACCAATAGTCGTGATTATTAAGAAAAATGGAGAAAACATCCGATTGTGTATCGACTATTGACGAGTTGATTAGCTACCACAGCTGATTGTATGCCCTATGCCACTTATCAGTGAATTTTTGCAGGACATGGGCATGGCAATGTGGTACTGTTCGCTGGACATGGCGAGTGGATTTTGGGTGATAGAGATGACCGAACGAGCAAGATCGATCTCTCTTTTATCACGCCGTTAGGTCTATTTGAATGGTTGCAAATGCAGTTAGATTAATGAACGCCCCAAAGATCTATCAGCGTTTGATTGATAATGCTCTAAATGGTTGTCTCAAGATTGGCACAAATAAGGATGTGAATGCAACGGATCATCCTAAGTTCACTGATGTGTTTACTGAGGGGAAGTCGGAAAAGGATCGTGCCCCGTCAGTGCTGGGTAGACGATCTTATATTGACGATATATTGATCCCGGCTACGTCATAGACATTTTCGCATGACAAGGTCGAAAAATTGTTGACAGTATGCGATCGATGGAATTTTTCGATCAGTCTGACCAAGAGTTTTTGGGGACGGCTTAAGGTGGATTACTTAGGCCATCATGTATCTTTTGCTGGGTTGGAGGACAATCGTAAAGATCTAGGACAGCTGGTCAACATTCCTTTTTCCACAACTTTGCGATTTATGCAACCGTTCCTAGGTAGCTTAAACTATAAAGTCGTTTTATAGAAGGTTTTCCAGTATTTGCATCTGTGTTGCACGAGTTACGAGAGGCGGATTTTTTCGAGATGAGCCATATGGGAGATTGTGATGCGATGTCGGGAAGATGCGGCAACACATTACAAGGGGGTGAGCATGGTCCAAATGAGCGGTTTCGGTGGGGAAGGGCCGCCATTGCATTGACTTTGCTGAAGGCTAAGATAGCAACAACCCCGATCTTTAAACATTTCGATCCAGATCTACTTCCAGTGATCGTGGTATATGCTAGTTTGTGGGCAGCATCGGCATCTCTATTGCACGAATATGAAGGCGTATACTGGCCGGTGACATTTACGAGTCGCACACTGATGCCTAATTAAGATAATTGTAATATGGTGGAGAAAGAAGTTTTAACCCTACTTCGAATCTTGGAAGTGTGCTACACCATGCTTGTATCCCGAGAGATCAGGGTGCTCACTCAATATTTGACATAAGCTTGGCTAGTTTAATCTTCTGTCCTCAATGGGACACTGGGAAGATGGTCTGCGCTGCTATCGAATTAGACACTAGAGCTCAAGAGATGTAACAAAGGAGAGGTTGAAATACTAGGCGCTCTCGCAGCTAGTATAACTCCGCGAGATGAGGTAGACGATGTGTTGATTGCGATCGCTCTACAGAAGAAACTTGAACAATTGGTTACTATGTTACCTCCCGCGGTAGGTACAGATGAATGCCTGGTGGTGGTCAGTTTTGACGGATCGGCACGGACTAAACGGAAGAGCGGGCATATAGTGCGATCGTGTGGAAGCTACTCAAATGGACCATCACCTCAGCCTCTTCGAAATACGCAGCAGATCTGACGGTGAATGCAGCAGAATATCGTGGCATGTTGTTGGGTCTCAATCTGCTGGACAACCAAACTAGGGACGAGTCATTGTATGTGGTGACTCGAACCTAGTGATCAGGCAAATGCGGGGAGAGATGGTTTGTAAAGCGCCCGGGCTACATTTTTTGCGTCATACAGCAATGCAGAAACTTTGATCTTAGCCACAACACGAGTTTCTACACATGAAGAGGGAGTGGAACCAACGCGCGGATCGACTAGCCAGTGCAGCTTTGCAGCAAGAGGAAGGTGTCATTGTGAACTTAGATCAAGAATTGCAAGATTCGGCATCACTCAACACGCTGCACGAGTTGCTTCTGCCGGAAAGGACGGTCGCGTGGGTGGTAAAATAATTGCGATCTTACAATCCGCGCGGCAAAGGCGTCAACAACACAAAGTTTTACACGAAGAAATAGCACAGCGGATGAGGATCGAGCGGATAACACAAGCGCAGGAGGAAGAGTCCTGGTTAGTCAACCTGAATGAATATCGTGTGAGCGATCTGACCCAGTTAAACGCAGAGGATGCAAAAATATGCGCTAGGATCGCTTCATACTACGAAGTGGACGAAAACGGATTGCCGTTCTTCAGCCCCCGATCCGCAAGGAATCGGACGATCGTATAGAAATGTTCCGTCTGGTTGTACCGGAATTGTTGCAGCAAGATTATATGCACCATTACCACAGAAGCTTGGAGGGTGGTCACCAGGGGATCGGAACGACTTTTCAGCGGATCAGA